ACCACCCTTTTATAGCCTGTGGGGTGTGGTCCAGTGACTCAGCTTAATCTCTGGCACGTCTCTTTTTCTGCTGCGCACGCTTATCGCTCCTACGCTGGCGTGGATCCAGCCACAACTTTTCTTCCTCATTATCTGACACACCTGGCTCCTGGCCAATCTGAGAAACACCGGGCTCCTGGCCAATCTCTGAACCACCTGGTTCCTGGTCAATCTCTTCTCCGTCGGAAGACACCGGAGGCATTGCCAAAGAGGAGGGTCCTGGAGAGGGAGGCCTAGCCATCTCCTCTCCTTCATGTTCTTCCTCCGATAAGAGGGGCTCACAAGACGGAGCCACAACATTGCCTTTGCATGCTTTCAGACTGCTACGTTGCAGGAGCTGGAGCGAGGACGGGAACTCACCCGTTTGCTTGGAGCTCGGGTCTTCAACCTGAGCTGTTGGCTTCCCAGCTGACAAGCCCAGCATCTTAACCTCTGAGCCAACGTGCTGCCTTGTTTAAGAACCCACCCTTCCAGAATTCACCCCGCTTCCATTTTTCTGTGGAGTGTGACTTTCCATAGCTACCTAATCTTTCTATTACCCTTCTCATCCTTTTCAAGGAATCCTTCAGTCATAGTTTCTTGCCTAGCCTAGGCCAGTGGTGGCGAACCTATGGCACGCATGCCAGAGGCGGCACTCAGAGCCCTCTCTATGGGCACGCGTGCCATGCCTTGGAGATGGCAACCGTCCTTCTTCAACCATCTGCCTGCTAGCTCGCTGAGGTCCCACGCGGGCAGATGCATCCTGGCACAGCTGGTTTCCCTCCCCCCCCATCCCGTCCCTCCTGGCCTCGCACGTTCTCCTTTTCCCGGGCATGACCCACTGCATCGCCTCAGCTGTTGGCCGGCCATCCAGCTCAGAGACGGCTTCTTTGAACTGCTGGTGCCGGGCTGCAGAGCCCCAGAGTGTGTGGGTCGAGGGGCATGCGCTCGCTGGCCTGATGGTGTCAGGCAGCAGTCGGCCCGGCCCTTGCCTTGCCCCATGGCAATGGCACCCCTGCCCTGCCTCATATCACCTCGCAGGACGAGCCTCCTGCCTACCGCCCCATCTGCCAGAGACCCCCTGGATCTCCCCCAACCCTGTCCACCCCCCCCCCACAGGTGTACCTTTCCATGAGTAACATAGAGGTGACCACGCACACCTTGGCCACACCCACCTAATCTGCCATGACCACAGGGCACGCCCACCCAGTGGGCCATGCCCACCTGGCACCTGGCGATAAATGAGTTTTGGGTTGCAGTTTGGGCACTTGGTCTCTAAAAGGTTCGCCATCAGGCCAGTGATGGCNTGCTTGTATATCACTGTGTTCAATACCTAGAAGCTTATCAGAATTAAAACTTGAGAGGCCATATGCTCAGTATAACTGTTTTAAAGTAGCAAAGTAAAGTTCTTACGATAGCTTGAAATTATTGCATAAATATTAATTGCTGCCAACTTTGCAATCACTATGGCACTGGTTTCTTCAGACACACACACACACACACACAAACACACACAGCAGTAGAAGACCACCAAGGTCCCTTCCAACTTTACTACTACTACTACTACTACTACTACTACTACTACTACTACTACTACTACTACTGTTGTTGTTGTTGTTGATAATAATAATAATAATAATAATAATAATAATAATAATAATAATAATAATAATAATAATAATAATAATAATAATATCATCCTGCTGATGATGTTACCTAGTTTGGTAATGAAACATTCAGGAATTATATTAAAGCAAGCTTGGAGAACAAACCACAGCCAAAATCTAAAACCCAAGCTACAAATATTTCCTATTATTTCAAAGTGTCAATTAAGTTTCTGAATACTCTTCAAAGGCAGCCCTATGTAAAGTATTTTGCAGTAACATACACACACACATACACAAACCCAATTTGTTAGTGGAATGGATGAATCTGGAATTTGTACACAATTCATTTGTGTACATTATTCACATAAATATTACAAAACAAATTACCTTACAAAAAAGATGTTGAGACTTTGGGAAAAGTGCAGAGAGGAGCAACTAAGATGATTAAAGGCCTGCAGACTAATCTAGAGAAAATAAAGACTAGGGGTGACATGATAGCAGTATTCCAGTATTTGAGAGGCTGCCACAAAGAAAAGGGGAACAAATTATTCTCCAAAGCACCAGAGGGCAGGACAAGAAAAAATGGATGGAAACTAATCAAGGAGAGAAGCAACCTGGAATTAAGGAGAAACTTCCTAACTTCCTAATTAACCAGTGGAATGGATTGCCTTCAGAAGTTGTGGATGCTTCATCAATGGAGCTATTTAAGAGACTGGACAGCCACTTGTCTGAAATGGTATAGGGCAGTGGTGGCGAACCCATGGCACATGTGCCAGAGGCGGCACTCAGAGCCCCCTCTGTGGGCACACACGCTGCCGCTGCCACCAGCTTGCACAGGTCCATTAGGCTGCCACCGCCGCCCAGAGCGGCAGCCCCACCCAGCACAAAGGAGGCGAAGTGGCCAGCTAGCAAGCTCGAGTAGAAGTGGTAGAGCACGCCCACACCCAGCAAGCCAAAGGCCACCCCAAGCAGGGAAAGCCGGATCCCCATTGGCGCCACAGCCCCCTAGTCCCAGCTAGGGTTGCGTGCCTCTCCCCATCTATGCTGGGCCTTCTGCCCATCGCCCCACCCACCAGAGACCCCTTGGATCTCCCCCAACCCTGCCGGGTCCCCACAAGCATTCCCCCCATTAGCAACATTGAGGTGGCCATGCCCACCGCAACCATGCCCACCCAGTCTGCCATGACAATCGTAAAAATGCCCACCCAGTGGGCCACGCCCCCATGCCCCTCCTGAGGGCATCACAATGGCACTTTGCAATAAATAAGTGGGTTTTGGGTTGTGGTTTGGGCACTCGGTCTCTAAAAGGTTCGCCATCACTGGTATAGGGTCTCCTGCTTGAAGAGGGGGTTGGACTAGAAGACCTCCAAGGTCTCTTCTAACTCTGTTCTAAATTGAATTATTTTTTTTTCTTAAAATGCATTTTTACTGGTGGCGAACTGCAGATTTCAAATGATATCTAAGAATGTCGGTTCACACACATAAATTTTGCTTAAGAAACTTCTTTACGTTCAGTGGAGATCTAAACAAGTTTGTCCCTGATCCTTCAGGAGGGTTCCTGTCACACCTGACTTGACTCCATAGTTGCACCTGCTGTCACTTATAGTTTGCCAAACAGCAAGGGAAGGAGGTGGGCAAATTTCTAAGTGGGGAGGGAAGTTTCTGGAATGCAAGAGAGCCTTCTGTTGCTGGAGTGACGTTAGACGCCAAGGTCAAGTTATGAAATAATAATAATAATAATAATAATAATAATAATAATAATAATAATAATAATAATAATAATAATAATAATAATAATAATAATAATAATAATAATAATAATAATAATAGTAATAAAGTTGGAAGGGACCTTGGAGGTCATCGAGTCCAACCCCCTGCTCAGGCAGGAACCCTACACCATTTTGGACAAATGGCTGTCCAGTCTCTTCTTAAAAACTTCCAGTGTTGGAGCCTTCACCGCTTCTGGAAGCAGGTTGTTCCATTGGTTAATTGTTCTAACTGTCAGGAAGTTTCTCCTTAGTTCTAGGTTGCTTCTCTCCTTGATCAATTTCCACCCGTTGCTTCTCATCCTGCCTTCAGGCACCTTGGAGAATAGCTTGACTCCCTCTTCTTTGTGGCAGCCCCTGAGATATTGGAACACTGCTATCATGTCCCCCCTCGTCCTTCTCTTCATTAAACTAGACATACCCAAATGTTTGAGTGGCTCAGACAGCCTTTTCCCAAAACAAAAGAACTGAACCCAATTGGTGAACTAAGAACTGTCGGCAGTCCAGGGAGGGAAAAAGGGTTTTACCTATGTGAGTTTTTGCGGGAAAAATCCCAGAACTGACTTTGCTTCTGCTGTACCAACATGGATCTTTCAATAAAGCTACACTCTTGGTAATTTAAAAGAGCCAAGAATTTCTTTGCTTGAATTTGCCAAATGGGATGGTTGACAGTTCCTTCTTTTCTGTTGGTTAAGAACGCACATAATTGCCTTGTTTAAAAAGGGTAGTGATGGATCATTGAGAGAATTCTGATACTAGATGAAAACTCTTAAGTGCGGGCGTTGAGTGTAAAATTAGCAGTTTCCAGGCTAGGTGTGAACACAAGGGTTCAACAACCACTTGGCTTCAAGCCACTAGTGTCAGTCAACTCAGAAGTTTAGAAGAAAGAAGCTATGGGTTTAAACCAGGGGTCTTCAAACTTGGCCCTTTTATGACTTGTGGACTTCAACTCCCAGAATTCCTCAGCCAGGCGGGCCAAGTTTGAAGACCCCTGGTTTAAACCAATACAAAGATAAAGGTAATTTAAATCTTTGAAAATGGCAGCGAGCAAACTATTGTGTGTGGCTTTATTTTTGTCTGCAGTAAAAAAAAATAATAATAATCCTCATTTAATCCAGCTGGTTTGGAAGTCTTCTGCCAAAACTAGTAGCTAAAGTGTCACAATGAAATGTCTAAGGGTTTTTGATAGCCTGGTGTTAGCCAGGAAGATGGGCAAAAATTGCAATGCTGTACTTTATTAAGGACTCACCCCTACAAACGACTGTTGCCTTTTTTTTGGTCAGGAACATTCGTACTTCCCTCCCAATCTATCTCCCTATCCATGCTTGCTTGCAGATGTTTATGTCTTTGCTGTTGGAAAAGAAGCCAACGAGAAAAGCCTGAATAATTTGGCATCACATAAACCTGGTGAG